GCCGCTGACACCTTTACTCCTTACTGTGCTTTGTCCCCTGGTTTCTGTCCCCTCTTCTAGAGACGAGGTAATTCAAACAGGTTTGCTGCCAAATGAGTTGTGGACACAAGTCCACGCTTTCAGAATCTTTCAGACTCCGGAGTTGTGCTCTGCAGACGATAGATCTATGTTTACATTTTTGTTCCAGTCTGAATATTTTGTAGCTTCTGTTCTGGTTTCGTTTTTAATTCACAAGGCATTTAGAAGGGTATTTATTAGTTTCCTTTTGCTTTTTATTATCTCTACCAGGGTGATCTGTCATTTAACACACTGTGGTCAGAGAGTGAGGTCTTCTTGGTACCAGTTCTTGTACATTTCCTAATAACCCCACCATGAGCTTGTGTTGAACCCTATACCCAATCTGTTTCAGAACTGCTCAGCCAGAAAGCCTCAAAAGGGCTGGGGTGTGTCCCAACCCACCAACTGCCTGCTGGGCAGTGCCTGTGATGGGCAGCCTCCTAGGGTCACTCACAGGGCAGCCCCTGGCACACTGGGCAGTGGGCACCATGGGCCTCCTCAGCCCCTGTTGCTCTCTGGTCCTGCATGGAGCCAGGAGCTGACTCTTGGTGAACAACGTAGTCCCCAGCCATGGCAGGCTTCCCAGGGCTACCCAGGACAGAGGGTCTAGGGAATTGCAGCAGGCATCCGCGGATAAGCTGGGAGCCCAGAAACAGGGGCCACAGCCAGGGTCTCACCAGGGAAGCACATTTGGGGCCCCAGACATTTACCGCTCTGAACGACTCTGCTTTACATAGTGTGGTGACTTCCGTCACCCTTCAGTGACATCCAAACCAGGTGCAGGGGTGCCGGGTCTAAGAATGTGTCCATGGTTTGTAAAGTGGACCCGCACCTGCTTAAGAACTTAATTTGAAGCATTTGCCAATCTCGATTTTCATTTGTATCTCAACAGGACAAGAACCTTTGCCAGGACGCTTGTTAATGAAAGAGAAAGAATTAGAAGAGCTTTCAAGAATAATTTCCACAGTTGTAAAATTCTGAATTTTGCATTGCTTTTGACCACCTGCTTCTGTTTCCACTGATCATGATTATCCAGACATCAAAGTCATAGGCAGAATCTGCACAGCGATGTCAAATGTGAAATATAAAATTTTCTATCGGTGGGAGCACCCTCCTTTCTCATTTAACAAGTAGAAAGTGTTTTATTTTTAGCATTTGTAAGAGCTTAGTATTTAATACTTTATAATATTCATTATGCCTCTGGCTTGGGTGTGGTTTGGCTCCCAGAGGTTCAAGTAAGGAAGCCTGGTCCTCAGAGTGACAGCGTGGAGACAGCAGGGCCTGGCAGAGGTGGCTTGGGTGTGGCATGCTGCCTTCTGGAGTGGCTGAGCTGTGTCTGCGGGATTCCTGTCCACTGCACGACACAGCAAAAGGGTAACCACGCACTTAGCTAAGGACACAGCACATGGGATGGAGACAGCATCCGCCTGCCTCGGAGCTGCTCTCTGGGCTGCATTTGAGACCTCAGGTAACGAAGGAAAGGGCTGGGAAAGAAGGAAGGATCACCTAGGTATCTCTAGGGAGACTGGATCCACCTTCTGGTTTAAACATCAGCCAGGACTGGGAAGCCCAGGTACCAAACAAACAAAGGATTTTCACAGCATCTTTCTGCCACTTTAATTTTATCTAGACTACTGAGGGTGGGTGGCACTCACACCCTTAATCCTAGTGCTCTTGAACCCAGCACTGCACCATGAATCAATCCCAGTCTCACACACTCTGGACTCAGAAACCTCTGAAAAACCCCCACCTCTGACCACATGAGGCTTTGGGGGAACATCTAGACGTGAACCATAACGAGCATCAATCTTGTGGCCACTGTGATCACTCACCCACTCTGCAGCCTGCGCTTCTGGTTCTGCCTTCAATAAATGTGAGCCCTTGCTACCTTTCTCACATGCCTTGTGCAGCTCTTTGCTCAGAACCATGAGAACTTGGAAAGAACCCTTGGGAAGAGCCCACGGCACCCGAGCTCCCAGTAGTACTTCCTACTGTGAAGATTTTATGTTATTTTTCTTCCAGCTTTTCTCTCAGCAGTGACCCGTCAGTTTTGCAATGGTTGCTTCCTTTTTTCTCTTAGTACAGTGTATTTTTTAAAATTTTCCCTTGAAACTTCCTTTTTGGTGCATAGGTTATTAAAAGCATACTGTTTATTTGGAAATGCACTGGTACTTCTGTTATTTTCCTATTTTGATGTCCATGTTAACTGTGATTTGAGAACACACACTACCTTATTCCAACTCCCTGAAAAGGTTGAGGTTTGTTTGAGAGCCTAGGATATAGGGTGCCTCAGCATGTGCTCTATGGGAACTTAAAAAGAATGTGTATCTTACTATTCTTTCAGTGAGGTGAGTTATAAATGGTGATTCGATCCTGTTGTTGGTGTTCTTAGGTTTTCTTTAACTTTAAGATTTTATATTCAGTTATTCTATCAATTACTATTTTAAGTCTCCAACTATAATTGTACCTCTGTCTATTTTTTCTTTTAGGTGGGAGTGTGTGTGTGTGTGTGTGTGTGTATGTGTATATGTGTAGAACTGGAGATCAGGCCCAGGACTTTCACAATGGGCTGTATCCCGAGCACTTTATCATTTAGACACAAGGTCTCACTGAGTTACTAAGTAGCCTAGGTTGGCCTTAAAGTTGAAATCCTCCTGTCTCAGCCTCCCAGAGTGCTGGGATTATAAACACACCACACCCATCTTCCTTTTTGTTCCTTCAATGTTTACTTTGATAGTTCTACTCATTTAGGATTTCCGTGTCTCCTTCTCTTTGCCCACTGGTGAAGTTGCTATTCATTTTTCTGCTTTGAACTCTGTTCTAGGACAGGTGCTGGTACATTTTTCGATTAACATCTGCACGATATGTCCTTTTCCTCCCTGAGAGTCCCCACTAGGTTTCTGCTAACCCTTTCCTGGAGGGGCAGCTGGGAGCTTGTTACTGTGCCTCATATGCCCCACATTCTTTTTTTTTTTTTTTTTTTTTTTTTGTCTTTTTTCCTTTTTATCAGTACCGGAGATCGAACTCACGACTACCTGCTTGCAGGGCAGGCACTTATGCCGCTGAGCTAAATCCCCAGGCCCTATGCCCCACATTCTTGCTGGGTCAACTCTGCATTAGCCCTGCCAAAGCCACCCCAGTGAGGAGCAGGAAGCCAGCCTTGTTACTGTCGGGTGAGGGTTCGAGTCCATATATCCCATCTGACACTGTGAGCCGGTGGTGAGCCCCAGGCCCACAGGTGGAGACAGCAGTGTCCCCTCCCCACCACCTTTCCCTGCCATGGCGGTGGGACCCTGGGGGCCCTGTGCAGAGTGGGCACTATGCTCCCTGCTGGCCTCCGGTGGCATGACGGGAGTGGAGCCACAGTCCTCCATGGGCTGTCCGCCTGGAGTGCAATGTTCAGTGTCTAAAAATTTCATGTCTTTCTGATCCTTTGGCTAAAGAGAGCAGGTTTCTGTGGGAGCTTTTTTCCCCTCTGTTCTTTTTTTTTTTTTTTTTTTTTTATACCAGGAATCCAACTCGTGACCTCACGCTTGCCAGGCAGGCGCTTACCGCTGAGCTAAATCCCCAGCCTCTTTCCCATCTGTTCTTCATTTCCAGGATCCTGGCCTGTCCGGCACCCAGACCAGTGCCTTAGGAGACTCAAGAAACCCCAGGACAGCTCCACTGTGAAGCCCTTGGGTCTCACAGTCTGCAGCTGGTCAGCAGCTTCCCTCAGTGTTCCAGAATATCCTTGTTTGTTCAGGGCTTTACCCACCCTAATGTCAAGGAGTCTGGGATGGAGGTGGGATTGAGGAGCAGGAGGGATGGAGGAAGAACTTGGAAAATAAATATCCACCAAGTCTGGGAAACCCAACATCCCATGTGCAGATCTCCATTCCCGCCTCCAACCTGCCCTGCATCTCTCTGCAGTTTCTCTGCAGGGCTGTGGCTTCTGCCTTAGCCCCTGCTCCTACCAGCTTAGCAACGGATAAGAGCACCATTGTGCCACCCACCATCCGGGATTTGCTGTTGCTCAATCCTGTGGCCTGCAGCTGCCTCCCGCAGCTGGCAGAGCAAATGATTCTTACACCATAGCCAGCGTGAATCCACTGCAGCGGGGGCCTTGCCGACTGCTTGTCTTCTGTGAAGCAAGTTTACCCATCTGGTGATTGCAGGAAGCCAGAGAGACACTTGACAAACTGCTGCTGCCTCTGCAGAGCTTGGCATGAGTGGCTCAGGACAAGGAGGCTTTCTCGTACAGAGGTGAAGCTGTGGGGCAGTTCAGCTAGGAGAGAGACGCAGGTTGGTTCAGCAGTGATCCCATGCTTGCTCCTGTGTTTGTTGATTAATGAACTAATGTTACCCTCGGTAATGGTAACTATGGTGCATCCTATCAGAGCCACTTCCTAGTCAGTGGTTTGTGAGCCACTCAAATGAGGTTAATGAAGACGGGACTTACGGGAATGGCAGTTGTGGCAAAGTTGGGAATGACGGCACTGAATTAAATAACTGATCGCATAAGGTAGGACGTAGGTGCCGCATCCTACAGTGTTTCTGGTAGATGCCCGTGCTCCCTCAGTTAAACTACACACATGCAGCCCAATTAGATTTTTTTTAAAAATAAATGGGCATTGGGCTGGGGTTTTAGCTCAGTGGTACAAGTGCTTGCCTGGTAAGCGTGAGGTCATGAGTTTGATCTCTGGTAACAAAAAATAAAAATAAAAATAAATAAATGGACAAAGGGATTCTAAACTTATATGAAATATAAAGTGGAAGACACTAAACTAATATTTGAAACAGAATGAGAATAAGATGTCATCTTTCTAAGTACCAAAATACATTATAAAGCAATAACAAAGTGCAAAAAAGCAATGAATGAAAATTGTTGAAACAAATTTATGTTTGTGAGGCTTAGCTGATAATAAGGTCGCACCTCCAATTAGTTTTTAAAATGTTATTCAGCACTCACCTGGCAGGGGAGAAACCAAGATCATGAGGACGGTTTTACCAGGGCGGGGCTCATCCAGCGCACCCCGGATATGCTGACCTCTGCAATTTCTCCAAATACAGGAAACTCAACTACATAATCTGTGGTGGGGGGGACTGCACTTGTGCTGCCCTCCGATTTAAAAGAAATGTTACTCAACAAGTGGTGTTGAGGAAATTGACTATATGCTAAAAAAAAAAAAGTACAACCTGCTTCATTTCATATGTAAAGAATGCCAGACTGGTGAAATATATGAAAGCAAACATCTGAAAATGCTAGAGAAACAGTAATATTTTTTATTCTTTGGCATAAGAAAGATCTTACTAAGCAAAACACAAAATCATAAGCAATACATAAACAATCAGATACAATAAAGCAAGTTAGTAGGACACACACTAGAGGAAGATAAACATACCTGGTTTTTGCTGCAAAGCTTTCTCAAAGTAAACCAACTATTCCATAGGAAGTTGAATTAAAAGACAAAAGAACTGATGTTTTTCCCACAGTGAAAGGGAAACATTGGCAGGGCAAGCACAAGATGCCTTCGGGTAAATTCTGCCTGAGTGCCCTTTCCAAGGAGCTGGGTGCCCAAAGGAGGACAGCATCCCCACCCTGACCCCCAGTCCAGCCCCACACCATCCTGAAACATCACGGCAACCACAAGGGCCTCACTGGCAGATAGCCTGGACATCTGTGTTTTTGAGGGTTTTGTAGGGTAATAACTTGTTCTTTCATTCTGTTTTTGCTGTACTGCAGTCTGTCTGCGGGGTAAGCTGGGGCAGAGGTGGCAAACTCACAGCATGTGAGCCGTAAGGGGCACACAACTCTCTGCCGGCATGCGAGCCACGTGGCCCCAGCAGCCGAGCATCAGATAACAGCTGGCTTTCTTGTTTTGTTTTGTTTTTCTGAACTCATACCTCAGTATTCAGGCTTAACTGCAGCGTTGGCACTTGGGACACATAAGTGGGGTTTGGGTTGCAGTTTGGGCACTTGGGCTCTAAAAGGTTTATTGTCTTGAGCTAAAGGGATGCTTCCAGGAAAAATGACAGCACAAAATTCCCATTTTAGCAAAGGAAAGAGGTTTCCAATCCATGGCCTCCACTTTTCCCCTTAATAAACCAGAAAAATAGGACAAACTAAGCCCGCTGTAAAGGGGAGAAAATAAATCATGCAACTACGAGCAGAAATCAATGAGATGGAAAACAAAGAGAAAAAAATCAATGGACCCAAAGTTGAATCTTTGAAGTCAGTAAAAGTGATAACACTCCACCCAGACTGATGAAAAAAAAACAGAGAAAACAAATCACTGGTACTAAGGATGCCAAGTAACACCGCACTAGTCCCACAGACCTAAAAGGAACAGTAAGGGAGATGATGAATAATTTAATAAAGGTAGACCACTTAAATAAACCAAACTCCTGGGAAGACACCACAAGAAACAAACCAAGTACCCACACATCTGTGAAAAGAAACTGACCATGCAGTTGAATAAAACCTCTCATAGAGCAGGGTACATTGATCAATGCCTTCTTGTTCGTAGGCATCTATGGAAGAAATAACACCGGCTTTTCATGAGATCTTCCATCAAATCAGTGAGGAGGGAATAACTCTTAATTTAGTCCATGAGATTAGCATGACTCGGCTGCCAAATCGTACAAGGACTGACCAGAAAAACAACCCTTATGCATATCAACAAAGCTCGGGGCATTTCCCTCCCCGCCTGCTCTCCCCTCACAGGAATGCACACAACAGCCAGTAATTCATGCTTTATTTCAGAGCAAGGGGGCAAATGAGGGCTTTTTGCATGAGAGGAGCTCAGGCATCATTTCTTGTGGATTTTGTGCAAGTTGGGGCTGAGCAAAGCGAGGACTAAAAAATCAAAGCGTGTCAGAACAGGATCCTTGGAGCTCAGGAATGCGATTGTAGCATTTAAAAAAAAAAAACAACAACAACAACAAAAAAGGGGCAAATTTCCAATACTTGGTGGTGATGCTTTTGAGACTGTGTAGCTCATTTCAGTTCCTCCTCCCTGGGTTAGGGACAATAACTTCCTTTTTCCATTCCATCAAGTTTGGAAAAACACATCAAAGAACGACGTCTGAATGTATCCCTCTCTCCAATGGGTCGCCCCCCTTTGAGGCCCACAGCGAGGGGCAGCCAGGGCCAAGCACAGCAGAGTCCTGCAGAAGGACGGCGCTCCTAGCTGTGCCTCGGCTGGGTCATTCTGGACGTGAACATCAAGACAGTGGGTGGACAGTGGCGGTGGGTGGACAGTGGCGATGACTCATGTCTGCCGGGAGCAAGTTTCAGGGCATATGTGCCGCCTTCCTCCTCTGTGTCACATAGACTCTGGACCCACGGGGATGGAGATAGTATGGCATTGGAGCTGCAGAGACCGAGGACACCATGGGATGTCAAAAGAAGATGAGCCACATCAGGATTAAACATCAGGACCTACTTATCCTTTTCCTCCTCCTCATTTCCTGTGGGATTCGGATTATGATCATGGAAAAAGCACAAAGGATGAAACTGGATAAATCATAGTCAAGTGGACACTTAAAAACATGTCTGAGAGTTAACGTCCTTGAGTAAGAACTCATTCTGTCTCCCTGATATTGATCCCAAGGGTCCAAGAGTCATAAAAGACCTTGTCTCCCCTAATAATTACTATCTAGTACCCAGGGGTCCCTGACACACTAACCTGTTCACACTTCTTAGGATCCACTAGCTTACACTCTCGGGGTCGCGTTCATCTCTGCATCCTTAGCACCTGACTTCTGATCTCTGTTCCCTGGAGACGCATGGACTTACAGACATGCACACCTTAGCAGATTTCTTTGAGACCACGTCATCCCAGTTACCTTTTGAGTATCTGTCTCTCTCACAAAGCCACAGAATTTTTTTTTTTTTTTTTGTCTTTTTCTTTTTTATCGGTACCGGGGATTGAACTCATGACTGCCTGCTTGCAAGGCAGGCACTTATGCCACTGAGCTAAATCCCCAGCCCTGCCACAGAATTTTTGAGGGACAAGAAGAATTCGTGTCTGGTTCATTTCTGGACCCCCACGTCACCTATGTTCAGAACCATGCCTCACTAACGCCGTGTGCTGGATGACGTAGGAAGCCAGCACCCTGCTTCTGACAGCAGCCGAGCTGCCTTGCTGGGCTCCCAATTCCGGAGCCTCTGCAGTTATTCATGCTGTGGTTCTCACACATTAATGTGCATTGGAATCATCCAGGGCCCAGGTTCTATGGAACGGGATACAACCTGGGCCTCTGGAGTTTAACCCAGAGATGCCCCAGCAATGCTGGTATCCACCAAGACTGCAAGAGCCCTGCCAGAGTGACAGGCTTCTCCACCTTTGCACGCTGTCCCATCATCATGAGAAACAATATCAGCCCTAAGGTGACATGGTTTGCAGGAGACAAAGCTCACGTCTCAGCCCAAACTAGCAGCACCAGCCAGAAAGCTCTCAGGGCTCCCTAGACCAAGCAAGAGCTTGTTGACAGCACAAGTCTTGAGCTGGAGGTGAAGTTCAGTGGTAGAGCGCTCCCCCTGCACGTGCAAAGCCCTGGCTTCTATCCCTAGGGCAGCAAAAAATAAAATAAATTAAAATGCCAGTCTGCCATCTGCTTCCCAAGAAGATACCCATGGGATTCCTAACGTTTAAGAAGCACTGATTCAACAGCCCCCATATCGAGACTCCCAGCATTTCTCTAACCAAAAAACTCCTGCACTTCCGTAAAAGGCTTAGCCCCCTCCCTCCACCATTGACTCAGAAAACCAGAGGAAGTGGGACTGGAATCTGCTGAGCTCAGCCACCACCAATTTACTCCTGAGGGGTGTGTGTGTGTGTGTGTGTGTGTTTTCTACTCCTGTCAGAGGACCATTGGGTCAAACTGTGCCACGAAATCAGTTTTAGAGGTTAAACAAAAAAGTCAAAATTAGCCGGGTGTGGTGGTGCACACCTCTCATCCCAGCACTCAGGGAAGCTGAAGCAGGAGAGTCACAAATGTGAACTCAGCCTGAGGAACTTAGTGATTTAGCAAAAGCCTGTCTCCAAATTTAAAGAAAAAAAAAACAAAACTGGAGATGTCGTTCAGTACAAAGGCTCTGAGTTCAATCCCCAGTATCAACAAAAGCAAAAGCAAATGAATTCCAAAAGAAGCTGAAAAAATATTTGCACTGCCCTGAGACCACTGTTGCAGCCAGGATCATGCCCAGGGACAGCTTCCTGCCCTGCTCCTGTTTGAGCATGTAGGTGGCACTGGACATCACACCAGGTGCCAGGAATACAGAGCAGAAGCACCTCAGTGCCCCCTGTGCCCTCTGCCCACGCCCTCACATGCCCAGTTCGCACTGTACATTGTGCCCCACAAAACATTTTAAAAGACACATTTGATGCCTCTCCTCCGGCTACCCCTCCCATGCCACCAACCTTCTCCAGCTGCCGCCTCCTCGCCTTCCAGCATCTTCCCTGTACCCTGCCCATCCGCACAGCTCGTCCTTCACGGTGGGATTAGGAAGAGGCCTGAGCAAGCTGCTTGACTGGGGTTGATGCACGGCCTGATGAGAGTCATCTGTAAACAGTCTGAGATTTATGCCCCCTGCTCTGGACCTGCCACATACAAAGGCAAAAATGAGGGAAGGTGTGTGGTGTGTCACTTGGCAATGTTGACGCCAATGTAGGCAAATGATTTTTTATTACCATGGAGAAATATATCTGACCTGAAATTTACCATCTTAGCCATTTTTAAGAGTGCTGTTCTGTGGCTTGAGCACATCCATGCTTTGGTGCCACCATTACCGCCATCCACCATCAGAATCATTTATCTTGCAAAACAGACGCTCTGCACCCACTAAGCACCTCCTCCCCATTCTCTCTCCAGGTAACCACCATGGTGCTTTCTCTTTCTATGCATTTGGGTACTCTAGGGTGCTGCCTGGTTCCTACCAGGCCGTGAGAGTGTTACCTAGGTAACACTCTCACGGCCTGGTAGGAACCAGGCAGCACAGCAGATGGCAGTGGAAGAGGAAAGAAACTCCTCTGTATGTACAGCGCTATCCCACCCCGACCCCAGCTCCCATCCCAGCTTCAGCTCCACCTGCTATTGGACCAGTGGCATGAGATTTTTGCAGGAAACCCTTCCCTGAACAGCACGATGAGAGACTTAGGGTGCATACTCCTTTTGAAAACTTAATTCCAAAGCCATTCCCTCTCCTACCACCACCAACTGTGGAAAAAAAAATGCCTTCCATAAAATCAGTCTGTGGTGCCAAAAATTGGGGGAATGGCTATTCCAAGTACCATGGATAATGAAGTCTTACCCTATTGCATGTTTTAAAACTGGTTTATTTTACTTATTGTAACACATTTAAAATCCATCCATAGTGCCACATGTGACAGAATTTTTAAGGCTGAGCGATACCCACTGAATGTATGGATGTTTCTTCACTCTTGATGGATTACACTGCAGTAAACCATCATAAACTGAAACTCTTGTAAGTTCAAATGCATTTACAACAACCAAACGTCATAGCTTCACAACTCAGTGTCCAGAGAGTGCCAAGATGCTTGCCCTCAGGGTTACTGGCTGGTAGGTTTGGGACCTCTGCCCAGCAGCACAAAAGGGTGTCTTGCTACATATCACTGGCCTAGGAAAAGATCAAGATTCACACCTTGAAGTATGGTTCTTAACGAATGTGTATTACTGTTCCATCATGCTAAGTTGGGACTATCTGTACACACAATTTCCATTTCCATTGATCTGTGGACAAAGATGAGTTACTTCCATGTTTTGGCTTCTGTGAACCATGCTGCTATGAATGCAGGTGTGTTGGCATCTGTCTTGAGTGATGCTTTTAACTCTTTGATTACAGGGATCACATGATAATTTGACGTTTAATATTTTGAGAAACTACCATCTGTCTTCCACAGCAGCTACAGCAATGACCAAGGGTACTGATTTCTGCACATCACTGCTGACATTTGTTACTTTCTTCCTTCCTTTTTTTCTTTCCTTCCTTTCCCTTTCTTTTAAGAGAGCTATCTTAAAAGTCATGTGTTGGGAGCCGCGCCTGTGATAGCTCGCCTTGCGCGGCGGACGTGCGGCCTGTGGTAAAGAGCAAAGCCTGAGGTAGATTACCTCTCCCATCGAATATGTTAGTTTCCTGCTTACCGCGTAAACAACCCGCTCAACAATATAGTCTGCCTGGCAACTGATGATGTTAGCCAATCAGCTTGCCTTGCTTACTTTAACATGATTGGACACTGTACCCGTATATATACCGGTGCCACCCCTGGGCGGAAGAAGAAGCCAGGTAGAAGCCCAGAAGTAAAAGCCCAAAAGGAGCCGCGGAGAGCGGACCGGTAGAGGCTTTGGGGCAGACTGAAGCACAAAAGGAGCCGCGGGGAGCGGACCAGAGGAGGCTTCAGCTGGGAGAACCCAGGGCAGGCTGTACGGAGAAGGAAAATAAAAAGAAAAGGTTGTCCACTACCAGACTTTGTCGTGTGTCCTTCCTGCCGGCCGGGAGCGGACATCGACAGTCATGAAGTGGAATCTCTTGTGGCCTTGATTTCCATTTCCCTAATAATTAGTGGTATTACAAGCATATTCTCATGTACAGTTTTGGTCATATTTTTCTTTGGAGTCACGTCTTCTGCCCATTCTGGATCAAGCTGTTTTGTTGTTGTTGCATTGTAGGAAGTTTTTATATATGCTAGATATTAATTCCCTATGAGATACGTGGTTTGCAAATGTGTTCTTCTATTCTATAGTTTCTTTTTCACACTTTTGATAGTGTTCTTTGATGCAAAAAAAGTTTTCTTTTTGATGAAATATAATACTATTTTTATTAGTTGTCTGCTTTTGGTGTCATATCTAAAAACCACTGCCAACCCCAGCATTATGAAGCTTTCCCCATCCTGTTTTCTAAGAGGTTTATAATTTTAGCTGTTGAGTTTAGACCTTGGGACCTTTTGAGTTAATTTCTGAATATGCTATATGGTAAGAATCAAACTTCATTTTTTTAAAATGTGGATGCCCAGTTTCCCTAAAAGCATGAAGGACGGAAGGAAGGAAGGAAGGAAGGAAGGAAGGAAGGAAGGAAGGAAGGAAGATTTTAGCCAGCCTTAGTGGCACACACTTGTAATTCCAGCTTCTCCAGAGGCTGAGGCAGGAAGATTTCAAGTTTGAGGCTTACCTGAGCACCTTAATGAGACCTGTCTCAAAACAAAAAAATTAAGGTGGGGGGATGCTGAGCACACAGCACAGTGGTAGAGCAGCTCTGAGTTTGATCCCTAGCATGGGAAAGGAAAGGGAGGGAGAGAAGGGAGAGGGCAGAGGAGGGGAGGGAGAAATCTTTTGTCATATGTTTGAAGGTTCATTTCCAGAGATTCTACATCCATTCCATCGGTCCCTTTGTCCATCTGAGGCCAGGGCCACCTTATCACCGCTTTGAAGGAAGTCTTGACATCAGAAGCTGTGAGTCTGCCAAATGTGCTCTTTGTCAAGATTGTTTTGATTACTCGAGGTCCCTTGAGATTCCATATGGATTTTAGGTGGGATTTGTCTATTTCTGAAAGAAAAAAGATATTGGGTTTTCACATGGATTCCTCTGAGTCTGCAGGTTTACCTGGGGAGAAGTCACATCTTATTATGAAGTCTTCCAGCCCACAAACGTATCTTTCCGCTTATTTGTGCCTTCAGTTTTTTCAACAACTTTTATCATTTTGAGTCTTTTGCTCCCTCAGTTAAGTTTATTCCCAAGTATTTTATTCTTTTTGGTGCTATTGCAAGTCAAATTTTGTAAAATGTTCCTTTGGGATTGTTCACTGTTAGTGTGTGGAAATGCCAACTCATTCTGATGTGCCAATTTTGGATCTAGCAACTTTGTCAAATTATTTTTTTTGACATCTACATAAAAGAGTGAGTCATCTGCAAGCAGAAATCAAGCTTTTCTTCTCTTCTAGCTCAGAGACTTCATGTTCTCTCCTAATTGTCCTGGCCTGGACCCTCAGCGCTATTTTGAATACTACTAGTGACAATGGGCATCCTTGTCTTATTCCTGACCTTAGAGGAAAAGCTCTCTGTCTTTCATGAAAGAAATAATCTTTAATATATTCTCTTAATATTTATTTTTATTAGTGCATGTTTGCAAAACATAAGCTCGCCTTCCTCCTGGCAGTTTGCCATGCACAGAATACTTTTTAACCGTTTCTTGGTTCCCTTTCCCTCCTTTCCCCCTCCTTCCATGTCTTGGTCCCTTCCCCTTTTGCAAAAGATCTATCTACTGTTTACTTGTATCTATGTTATTTTGTCCCTTATTTACATTTTGAGTTTCTTATACAAGAGAAACCATGCTATGTTTAACTCTGTGTAACTAAGTTAAAGAACATCAGGAGTTTGGAAGGAAGAGACCATTTCATTCACCAAATCAACAACACTGCTGAGAGACTGGAAAAGAAAGAGGAGATGAGAAACATATTGTGCAGGAATACATGCCACATATATGTTTAATTTTCCATATGTCTTAAAATGGCAAAAGAGAGATGGAAAATGAATCAAAGTACAAGAGCGATAGAAATGTCTTAAACAGCATTAATATCGCTGAGTAAATGACTTTGCCTTTACTCCAATTAATAACTTCCCATGTGTATGGTTTGGGTCTAGATGTCCTCCCAAAGCCTCATGCACTCACAGCTGGAGCCTCTTTAGAAGTGGCAGAATCTAGGGTATGTGATGCTGGGATTAAGGGTGGGTGATTACTTAGTCAGCCCCCTGATTGGTTTGGCACCACACTAATCCCAAGAACCGGATATAATGCAAGAGGCTTGTCTTCTCCCTTCCTTGCTTGCTTTTGCTGTCTTCTGCTTGCTATGAACTGGTTTTCCTCTCAGTGCCCTTCTGCCAACCTGCCCTGCCTTGGAGCCAGCCAATCATGGGCTGCAAGCTCTATGAACTGTGATCTAAATAAACCATTTCCTCCCTTAACTTAGGTGTTAGGCATTTGGTCTCAACAATGATAAAAGTAACTAAAACACCAAGGAAATTCAACCAAGATGATAAACGATACTGGATTCAGTACCTCAAACCAGATGCATGGAAAAGATGAAGGAAGCGTTTGGGGGCCCATATGTGTCCCTCCCAGAAGGCCCTCCTCTGGGGTCCTGGCACTTAAAGAACTGTGCCAAAGCTCTATACTATGCCACATCTGTTGAAAGATAGAAAGTTTCTCTAAAAATACAAGAGAAGGAACTGAAACATTTCAGAGAAGGCAGGGTTAGCAAGCAAGAAACCAAAAGAGGAAGATAAAATTATAGTTACCGAAAAAAGAGGAATGGAAATTGAATTGTCTTACAAAGAAGGTCCAGAATCTGCCCTCTCTTCCCATTTATACCATCAAGAATGGGAAGAAGGGGTTGGACAGTGAGAAACAGCTCCCGGAGAGAGAATTCTCTGCACTTTTCCCATTAAGAAGTCAAGCAGCCTTCACCGGTGAAGAATAGAGTAATTTCTTCACTCAAGGTGTTTCAAACTGAAAGGGGTTTTTTAAAAATGTTCTTGTCCCTTCCTTGATCTCGAGAGGAACACAGGGCTGAGAGGCCTCTGGAGCTCTCCTGAGCTCAGACAGCTAACTGGGGTCCACAACTTTGCTACAAAAGTCTCTTTCCAATGTGTACCCTGGGCCCTTTCCCTGGGGCTCTTACTTTAGGGTGACGGATTGATTGTGCTGAAAAGACAGCACCCTATTGAGCTTTGCTTACTAACACGTTTACATTCAGATCTGCAGCTTTCGGGGTAGGGACACATGCGGCAGCATGGCTGGAATTCTTCGCAAGTGCACATTCCCAGCTGCATGCCAGACCTGCGGAATCAGAAACCCTGAGGACATAGCCTGGCCCTAACCAGCCCCCCAGCAAACGCTCCTGCACTGTGGTGAGAGAACCACTGATCTGAGGAATAATGTGTTTTATTCACTGTGATAGTATCAATAAATAATATGCACTTCACAGCTTACCAGAGAAAGCGTTTGTCATTTCTGGACAGTGGGTGGTATCTTGTGGAACTTTTTTATGGGTGCAAGAGTAAAGATTAAGGAAGGGAATCAACTTCTGGGTGGAGAGAGCAGGGCCAAAACTGCAATTGAGCCTCTAGCCTGGAAGCCAACAGAGTCACGGCAAGGCCACACCCAGGCAAAATGGCATCAGTAAGGCATCGGGAGCAGAGAATGCTGGGCCACGTGTGTGACCGTGCAGAAGAAAAAGCACCAAGCACTCCCATTTTCTACGTCTTTATGGTCCAGCAGCAAGTAGGAAGCCAAGCCTTAGGGAGGTCAAGCTGCTGCCCAGGGTCAGCGGCTGTCCCTATCAGAGGCTGTCTGGCTTCAGGACCTCCTGCCTGCACGGCCATGAGGATTGCAAGTGGTCACCCCAGGTCACTGGGGCCCGCTCTGGGCCCCTACCAAGGTGCTGAGCTGAACCTCCAGTGCCCTTGCATTACAGAAAACTCCATTTCTCAAAACCAGTGGTTTCAAATCTAAGTGTGCAGTAGAATCATCTGGAAAGCTTCTTGGAAAACAACGCCCCACCCCAAGAGTTTCTGATTCTGTCAGCTGGGGTGGGGCCCACGAATTTGCATTTCCAGCAAAGTTGCAGGTCACCCAGCTATCACCCATCGCTGGACCGCCGAGTAGCCAAGGCCATGATACTCTCAGTGTAAGACTGAGTAACCTGATGACAAATGAACAAGAACCAAACTTCAGAGTCCGACAGCTCACTGCCACCACCGGCCGCAGCGCGCACAGGACCCCATCCACTTCCCCCTCTGTCCATCTACACTGTCTTTCCCTTCTGCTGCTCACCGTTCACCCTCCTGGAGCTTCACCTCCTATCTCCTCTATAGTCTCTTTACCTTCCATCTACACTGGCTACCATCTACACTGATTACCATCTATATTACTACCGTCTACACTGCCTACATCTACACTGCCTACATCTATACTGCCTACTGTCTACACTGCCTCTCCAATCTATACATTTGCCTGATTAAAGCACCAATCCCTTAAAAATTTCCTGTTCCCCTCCATTGCCTAAAGCTCCAAACAGATCACTCAGGGTCCTCCGCGACCTCCACGTACCAGCCCAGCATTTTAGCCTCCTCCTCGGTGACGCTGCCTTCTCTCCTTCAGGTGTCTTTGTCATGCTGTTTCCTCTCTCGCTTTCCCTCTCCTGATTCAATCGCTATCGGGCTCATGTCAAGCACCCTTTCTTGCCTCCTGAAAACACCCTTTAAGAGTTTCTTTGTCTCAGAGCTCCCACGCATGGAAGTCTACCCCCGTGGCCACTGCCACACAGCACGTGGTGTGACCATTCCTCCAATCTCGCACACCATCTCACTACGCTGTGCATTGCTGAGTCTCATTAGTGGGAGCCCCGCCTCTCCAAGCTCCCCATCAGCATCTGACAGAGGAATACACATATCTTGTTTCCAGTCGCATCTGTTCATGTTTTAAATTAACCTTCTTTCTTATTCACCTAAATTTTTATTTATTTATTTATGTATTTATTTTTAAGAGCAGATATATTTATTGAGAGGAAGAAAGCTATTCAGAGAGAGAGATGGGGTCCCGAGTGGGTTGCCCTTGACTTATATTTTAAATAACGAAGGTCACTGTGGAGCTGTTAACAAACACGGAAGGCAATGCAGTGAACCATCCTACGAACCACAACTTTGCAATACTCTGTCAACCTGACTTTTAAGCCAGCTACAGGTTAGCCAAGCTAAGGAGTCAAGAGGAAAGTATGGTGACATATTAGGGAAGCCCCGCTTTCTCCAGAGCCCCAGGTAATAACCTGGATCCCTGTGACCAGTCTTCGTGAACAGTGAGTCCTAGCTGCCTTGGCAGCAAAGCAAGATGTAAGAGAGAAGCCCGAGACGATATCCTCACATTGGGATGCTAAGAATCATGACTGACACGCAGCCCCCAAGCCTCTGTTTGAGAATAACGTACAGCGTGCAGAAACCCTGGCTGGCAGAGCAGAAACGCAGAGAGCACAGCAGCGCACACAGAGTGAGACTGCAGTACCCCACAAAACAGCACCAACCACAGGAACGAGCCTGCAGGCAGGGGGAGAATGAAACAGATGGAAATAACCCGAGATAATAATAAACATTTGAGGTCATGAAATTGTGGGTGATTATGTTCCTCTTTGTTTTTATTTTCTAAGATGTTTGCTTTTTTGCTAATAAATGCCTTTTTTTAAAAATTGAAGTGAATCCACAGAACAGAAAGTAAACTGTTCAGTGGCATTTAACTCATTCACGACACTGGGTGACCTGCTGCTAGCTGCTTCTGACATGATCATCCCTCCGCTAAGATAAAGCCCAGGCTTCGTTCAGTGCTTGCTCCCTTCCTCCCTTCCCCACCCCCAGCAATCGCCCACGGCCTCCTGTGTCCGTGGATTTACCCCTGGACGTGCCACACGCATGGGGCAGCACAGCCTGCGGCTAGGTCAGGTTCCCTCACTTGGTGGCACCGACCAGTGCTGCCCTACTTGTGTGGGCTTCATGCTCTCT